GCGCCCCCCCCCCCCTTCCCCCCACTTCGCTCGCCTGCCTCAGCTCAGCGGGGAGAAGGCCGAGGCCTGATAAGGTGATTTATCTGCCGCCTTTCTGCCCGCCGTAATGGATGACACATCCACCTGAATGCTGAAACTTCATCATCTCACCCCTTTTACGCACCTGCCCCCCCCATCCCCCCTCCCTACCTCCACCTCGCTCCCGCAGAGAGAAGGAAATGAAACACGCACATAAGAAAATATCACCCATGCAAACTTTTTTTTCCCCTTAACATCAAAAGTGCTCAAGAATGCGGAAACATTATGAAATGAAAGAAGTCCTTATTTCGATATGAACACGCCGTCACCGCCGAAAATCAATGTGCAACTTGGTATTGATCCTTCAATCAATGAAGGGCCAATGAGGGAAATGTCGCCATCAGGTGCGTAGGCGTGTTTCGTCAAAACGTTTCATGTTAAATTGCAATGAATGAATTGTGGGGGCAGAATCACCGCTGATTTCATTTCATGTTGGCCACTGCAATGTATTTGACTTTGATTAACATTGCATTATTAATTATTCGGTTTATTTCAATAGCTTTTTATTCCATTGCATTTTCGTTCATGTGATAGCCTGAGTGTGTAGATTTGTCACCCAATTTCTTTTTTAGTTTTTTTCGGTCGGTATGTGTAAATATACGAGGTATGCACGTTTGCATATGCAGATGCATTCAGCAATTCAATTTTATTTGAATTATTGGTCGTTATCGGAATATTCATTCGTTTTTTTTGTCCTGTCCATGCGGTCGTCTTTATTTCAATTTTAGGTTTTTTTAAAAATTTGAATTTCACTTTTTTTTGGAGGGGGGGGTCATACCGAACAATATTGCGGTGTCCATTTGTCAATTTTCACCCCCCCCCCGATTATTTTATTTAATTATTTATGCATTCACTGATTCGCTCATTCCGACCTGTTGATTTTGATGACCAATGTTGCGGCATTTAATATCACTCATTCATTATTATTTTTATTCATTTATTCTTGCACTTGGTCATCTGTGACATTTTATTTAGTTGTGTTTATTTTATGGCTCAAGGGACGCGGTAATCTACATTTATTTATTTATTTATTAATTCTTCGAGTATTCATTGTTTTATCTATATTTCTTTTTTTGGATCCTCCAGGTGAGAACCACCTCTGTAATCCATTTTATTTATTGATGTATTTATTTTATTTTATTAATTTATTTATTTTTACAGCAATGCTCCTCAATTTCAATATGATTACAGTACTTCCTCTTGCGTCAACGTTACAACAAAACCATCAGAACACGCCAGCGAGCAACGTTTTCGACAGGCGAGGCATCGTTTCATTTTCTCGTCATCTCAGGTGCCAGCACGTCAAAAGCGTTCCGGATCTCACCTTTCTTTTCATTTGCATATGGCCAGTTTTCATGACTCGAATCAAATCACGTCAAAGCAATCAATCAAACGCCAATAGGAGCGGATCCTCAGCTGTATATCGGATTTCATTTAGTTTATTTTATTTCTATATTTATTTTAACAGCACAGAGAGAGAGAGAGAGAGAGAGAGAGAGAGAGAGTGTCAATTAACCTCGTCACTGCGCTTCAACGCCTCGGGTCGCCGCCAATGTTTTAACGGGGGAGTGATTGAAGAAGGCGGGAGTGAGAGGAAGGGGAGGCGATCAATGACGGATCAAAGTGCGATCGCTCACCTCACTGCAGAGACAAAGAGAGACAATGGTGTTTACTGGCCATTGTCAAGAGGAGTTATCATCCTAAATAAAGGATAACAATTATTCTACATCGCAGTCATCGCGGCCCTGAGTGGCGTCTTGGCTTTCAGTGGAACTTTTCTGTCTTTGGATCGTCTTTCTTACGGAACAAGTTCAGCGCTTTGGTTGCGAAATGTTACAAGAGGGAGAAAACTAACAATGGTGTTGACATTATGTGTGAATGAAAAAAAGGGGAAAGGAAATTGGGTGAAAAAGAAGAAGAAGAAAAAAAATCACATTTGTAGAATCCGACCGATTCCTCTGCCTTTTACGGAGTAATTAAGACGATTGATTGACACTCCCAAGTTGAAGTGTACAGTCAAAGTCAACATAAAATGAGGCAAAATGGCACGTTTTTGCGTCGAAAACAACCACATAACCTGGCCTTGGGGAAATCTTAAAGCCAACACACTATACAAAGACACATTGGTAGGCGAAAGAATAGCATCTGTATTGCATTGTTATAACCTTTAAGCAACAGATATTTGGACTTACACGATGGAACGACAAAAAAATGTGAACATATTACAATACTCACATGCATATAGTCTTTATCCTCTGTGAAGACCAACTACATAGAAATCGGTGCATCTTACTGAGGAGTGCCTGTGTCCATATATAGCCAAAGCTGAATTGAAGAAGACATGAAAAAATAAATAAAATAAAATGCTTCAATTCTTGACAGACTGTGTATGTTTTTATCAAGAACAATATTAGAGGGTGCTATTTTTCTTCATTTCAAAAACTCTACACGTTTATTTTTCGGGAGGGGGGGATGCAATGGATTAATGGACAAATTAAGTGGGCCCATGGTGGATAAAAACTAAATATTTTCAGGTTGTCATTGGATTAAAAACAAATCTTTCAGTGGAAAATAATGGACTTTTTATTGTGTAAATAAATTTGAAATAAAAA